TACTAAATGTGTATACACCTAAGATTTAGCCTAAAATATATATAAAGCAAAAATTGACAGACTCGAAAGAGAAATAGACAAATCTAAAATCAAAACTGGAGATTTTTAACAGAATTCTCTTGATATATGATAGAATCAATATTCAAAAAAATCAGTAGGGATCAAATGAACATAAATAAAGAGCTTAACCTAATTTACATATATACCACATGGCACCTACCAATTGCAGAATAAATATATATTCTTTTCAAGTAAACAATTTTCCAAATTGACTACATGGTGGGACATAAAGATTGTAACAATAAATTTCAAAGGATTTGAAATCATTCAGAGTATGTGCTCGGACCACACAATGAAATATCCCTCTTTATCTCATGTCTTAATGATGTCTACTTCATCTGATAGCAGTAAAAGTTTACCAGCTTTACTTTTACTTATTTTTGAATGATATATCTTTCTCTGCCTACTTACTGTCAAATTTCTGTGTCATTAAATTTATAGTTTCTTTTGTCAACAGTATATAGTTGGTTTTTAAGGAGGGCTGACAGTGTCTTTTAATTGGAATATTTAGTCCATCCACATTTAATATAAATGCTCTTTTGGTTTAAATCTGTTATCTTGTTGTTTGTTTTTTGTTATTGTGTTTCTTTTTTCTCTTTCTTGTACTCTTTTGAATTATTTAAGAATGTTTATCATTATGTTTTCCCCTCTACTATCTTGTTAGTTATACATTTCTTATTATTCTTTTTGTGGTTACACTAGAGTTTACAACATGCATTTTTGAGTTATTAGAATTTATCTTAAGTTAGCACTTTTACCTCTTTCTGGTCAATGTATGAACCTTAGAATTTATGTCATTTGTTACAGACTCCCATATTTTGTGTTGTTGCTGTCATGTGTTTTAATTCTACATATAATTTGATCCCCAAAAGCCATTACTAGTATTGCTTTAAACAATCAATATTTACCAACATATTTGCCCTTTCAGGTCTCTTTATTCCTTTTGTATACCCTGCCTCCCATAGAGTCATTTTCCTTCTGTCTGGAGATCTCCCTTTAGAATTCTTTACTGCAGGTGTGCTGGTGATGAATTTTTTCTTTCTATTTTTCTGGGGTATAGAATTCTAAATTGGTAATAATCACCTTTCTTCAAAACACCTTGCTGAGATTACGATAGAAATTGCATTTAATCTATGCATCAATTTAGAGAGAATTCACATCTTTACTGTGTTAAAAGTCTTCCAGTTCATGAATATGGTATGTCTCTCCAGTTGTTTAGATCTTCTTTGATTTCTTTCATCAGCATTTTATAGTTTTTAGCATACAAGTACTGAAGATGTTATTTTATACCTATACTTCAGTATTTAATTTTTGAGCTATTGTAAATAGTATGATATTTAAAAATTTGAGGCCCATGTGTTCAGAGTTAGTATGTCAAAATACCATTGATTTGTATATGTTGATCATGTATTCTGTGACCTTGACAAAATCATTTATGAGTTATAGTATTTTTTGTAGCTTCCTTCTGATTTTCTACATAAACCATCCTGTCATCTGCAAATAAGGACAGTGCTAGGTCTTTCTTTCTGATATGTGTTACTTTTATTTCTTTTTCTTGACTTATTTCACTAGCTAGGACTTCCAGTACTATGTTGAAGAGCAGGTAGAGAGAGAGCATCCTCACCTTTTCCCAGTCTTAAGGGGAAAGAATTCAGTCTTTAACATTTAAGTATGATGTTAGCTGTATGGTTTTTGTAGATGTTCTTTACCAAGTTGAGAAAGTTCCCCTCTGTTCCTAGTTTTAATGGGAGTTTTTGTCATGAATGAGTATCAAATTTTGTCAAATGCTTTTCTGCATTGATGATATGATCAAGTGATTTTTCTTCTTTAAACTGTTAATATGGTGAATTATATTAATTGATTGATTTTCAAATATTAAACTAGCCTTGCATCCCAGTAATAAACCCCACTTAAGCATAGTGTATAATTTTTCTATAAAAATGCTGAGTTCTACTTGTTTATATTTTGTTAAGAATTGTGTATCATATGCATGAGTGGTATTGATCTGTACTTTTCTCCTTTTTGTATTTTCTTTGTCTGGTTTTGGTATCAAGGTAATACTGGCCATTTTCTGCAGGAGTTTGTATAGGATTTGTTGAGTGTGTCTATTTGTATAGTCTTTTTAGTGGTTGTTCTACATATTATGTTATATACACATACTTTATCAAAGCATACACATAAAGTGCTGACACTTTACCACTTTTATGAAGCATAGAAACCTTACCTGCCTTTATGCTCCTTTATCCTCCACCATCTATAATTGTCTTAAATATTTCTTCTACACACATTGAGACAATGTTATAATTTTTTCTTCATCAGACATAATTTAGAAAATTCAAGAGGAGAAGGAAAGTCTCTGTATTCATTCATATTTTTGCTCTTTCCATGTTGTTCCTTCCTAATGTTTGAAGATTTCCTCTTTTGTCATTTCCTTTCTGTCTAGAGAACTTCCTTTAGCCATTCTTTTAAATTAGGTCTACTGGAAACCTAAATTCTCTTAGTTTTCCTTCATCTAAGAATGTGTTGATTTCCCCTTTATTTCTGAAGGATACTTCTGTTGTACATAGAATTCTGGATTGATGGCTCTTTTCTTTTAGCACTGGAAAAACATTGTTCCACTTCTTTCTGATCTCTATGGTTTCTGATAAGAAATTCACTGTCATTACAATTGTTTTCCCCATATAGGTAAGGAGTTGTTTCTCTTTAGAAGCTTTCAAGGCTTTTTCTTTGTCTTTAGTTTACAGAAATTGGACTATGATGTGTTTTGGCATGAATTTCCATAGGTTTTTCCCATTTAGAATTTTCTCAGCTTCTTGAATTCATATATTTATAGTTTTGTTTGTTTACAAAAATTGGGAAGCTTTCAGTGATTATTTCTTTGAATACTTTTCTCAGCTCTACCCTATTTCTCCTCTCCTATGGGACTATGGTCACGTGATCTTTTTTAGTTTATTTTCTCTCCATTATTCAGTTTCTGTAATTTCTATGTTATACCTTGTCATCCACATATTCTTTCTTCTATTCTCTCCATTCTGTTATCGAGCACATCCATTGAATTTTTTTAACCAATTGTTGGATTATTTTAGTTCCAAAATCCTAATTTGGCTTTTCTTTGTATATTCTTTTGTTGTTGTTGTTGAGACTTTTTTTGGCTGACATTTTTCTTTTTTTTTTCATTTGTTTCAAGCCTGTTTGTAATTGCTTGTTGAGACATTTTTTATGATGCCTGCTTTAAAATCTCTGTCAGATAATTCTAACATCTGTGTCATCTGTGTTGGTGTTGACTAGTTGTCTTTCCTCATTCCATTTGAGGTCTTCCTGGTTCTTGGTGTAAATAATTTTCAGTTGAAAATTGTATATTTTGAGTATTAAGTTATAAGACTCTGAATCATTTAAATCTTGTGTTTTAGCAGACCTTCTCTGACACCATTCCATTAGGTGTAGGACGCCATTGATTCACAGACATCAGATGGGGGTGGACGTACACGTTTTCCACACTGCCTCTGCTGGAACCTAATGTGGCATGGGCTTCTTGGTACTGCTGGGCGGTAGTGGGGGAACCTCATCACCATCAGATTGGGGTGAAAGTCCAGGCTCCCCATATGTTCTCCATTTGGTAAGGGTGGAATCCTCATTACCATCCAGCAGGGTTCGAGTGCTGACTCCACACCACCTGGCAGTGGGGGAGGGGGTAGAGAGTGACTCATGGCAGCCTGGCAAGGATGAAGTCTCAGCTCCCCACTTGGCCTCTGCTAGAAGAGTGGTGGGAGGGCTACAGTTTGTTCTGTGGGTGTGGCTGGAATAGAACAGCTGTTTTCTAAGCAGTGGCTGTCTGGCTAAGAGGCCCCTCTCCTGGTGTTCTGACTAGAGAGAGCATGATTTTTTTGACAGCCTCCATTATTTCCAGATTGCAACCTTCTCTAGCATCTACTCTGGGGTTTGTGAGGCAAAGAGGAACCCAGGGCACCTACCACCAGGTTGTGCCTCAAGTCCTGATGTTCCTAGCCAGTCTGCCTTCTTCTCTCCACCTTTCAGTCTTCCCATGTTGTTTTATACGTAACGTCCAGGGGTTTTAGTTGTAGTTAGTAGAAAGGGCAGTGGAGAGGATGTCTACTCTGTCTTCCTGCAAGCAGAAGTCTCGAGATGTGTTGATGAAATTTAACATGACTTACCAAAATAGCTACAATGTCAGACAAAGACAAATATAACATGACATCACTTATATGTAGAATCTTAAAAAAATAATAATACAAATGAACTTATTTACAAAACAGAAATAGACCCACAGACACAGAAAACAAATTTATGGTTACCAAAGGGGAAAGGGGGGATAAATTAGGAGTCTGGGATTAACAGATACACATTACTATATATAAAATAGATAAACAACAAGGACCTACTCTATAGCACAGGGAAATATATTCAATATCTTGTAATAAGCTATAATGGAAAAGAATCTGAAAAATTATATATATATATATATATACATGTATGTATAACTGAACCACCTTGCTGTACACCTGGAACATTGTACATCAACTATACGTCAATTAAAAAAATTAAATATAAACCATACTCTCAAAGGTGTGTATGCATCAACAAAGAAGGATGGTATTTTTTTAGAAAAATAAATTTTGGGAGGGGAAACTGTGTTCAAGGAAATTACACAAAGAAAAATTTTACATTTTGTGTAAAATGTGTTCCCAGATTCAAGGAGAGAAGGCTTTAGTCTTGAGTTTCTTGCTAGTTGATGGGAGAATTTGGCCGTTTTTTATCTTAGGAAAAAAATCTATATTTTTTTTTAGAATAAGTAGCCATAACCCTCCACCTTACCAATGAAGTTCTCTAGAATCCTCTAGAAAATCATCCGCCAATGTTTAAGCTTACTTAGCAAACATCCCTGCCTGTCCTGGGATTCTAAACGTGAGCTTCTGTTCCAGGTCGCCTGAACTGGTGGTCCACCGTGTGCACGAGCTGTAAACGGCTTCTTCCTTTGGCCACGACAGGGGACGGGAACTGCCTTTTACACGCTGCCTCACTGGGTAAGCCCCACAGTGTAGACAGAGGGTGGCAGTGCCCAGGCCTGCTCTGTGCGTCATTAAAGGACAATCATATACTAAGTAGAGCCACGTGCATTACTGTCATCTGGAAGAGTCCCCAAGGGATGGAGCCAACAATTCCTGCCCTTCTTGTCAAGCAGCTGGCAGGCTTGGTGGGGACATAGAGCACACACGAGAAAAGACCTGTCCTGATAGAAGGAGGCCTGAGCAGAGCTGCAGGGATGGGCATTAGACATCGTGATCTAGAGCAATCAAAGAGGACTTCCTGGAGGAAGTGAGATTTCACTGAGACTTGAAGAACTTGAAAGACTATAAAAAAGGACCTTCCAGGCAGGGAGACCACATAGATAAAGCAGAAAGGCAGAAATTAACGTGGTGTTTGGGGTCGGGGCTAAGCCCTGTTGGGCTCGAGCAGGAAGTCTGGGGAGCAGTGCATGAGGTTGGGTAGGTCTGGGGCCACCACATTGACTGCAGCTGATGCACTCAGACTGACAAAAAGACAGACATAGGTACTGCTTGGGTAAATAACATGGCACAGTCAGAATACACCACAGAGAGGTCAGCAACCTCCTCCAATGGAGATGCGAGCTTCCTGGTTACAAAAAGCGACACCAGCAAATGCACAAGTGTGGGTGGCAATATTTGGATGATGGAAGGTCACGGTAGACTTTCTGGAAGCTCACTTAACCCCTCTGGACCCAGGCTTACAACACAGGCAGAACTGAATTTGTGCCGGGGACCCCAGTATCAGTGCCAGTGGCGCCTTATCAGTCCTGCAGTATGAGGACCCTCTCCAGGGATGGGCCCCTCCGACGAGAGTATGGTCCTTGTTGGTCAAACTCGCCTCCCCAGGTAAACATGACCTTAACCCGATGCTGTGTCCCAGAGCAAGGACGCCCCAGACCTTGCTTCAGACCTGTAGTGAGGCCTATTCTGTAAGAGGTGGGCTGAGATGAGCCTGAAAAGGCTTAGAGGGTAATGAGGGGACCTGGAAAGGGCCCCGAGATGCCCAGAGGAGGATGGAGCCCAAGAGCAAAGGGAACATCCCACATTCCATGGGCTTGACAAGGAGTGATGGGGAAGACAAGGGTACCCACCCACCTCCTCCCTTTCAAAACTAACGCATTTCTGTCTGTTGACTCCACATTCATCATAGTAAAATATCAATCAGCAATCCCACTGCCCAGCGATGGCTGCTTTTAACATTTTGGTATATTGTCTTCCACACTTTTGTCTATTCTTCCAGTGAAATTAGGATCTCACGGTGTTCACAGTTTGTAATCCAACATTTTTCCCTTAAAATTGTATTGAGAATTTTCCATGCTGTTCTTCAAAATCATATTTTTGCTAGTTGTGTCCTATTCCATCGTAATGTATTCACTGTCTCCCTCTTATGGAACTTATTTCATCTTGTTCTGTATAAAACCTGGAGAAGGAAAACGAAAGAAGAGATCTCTCCTCTGTGACAACCAGCAGCCTCTTTACAAAGTTTCAGGCATGGAAATGCCTTTGTCCTTCTGAAACTGCAGCATGCAGAGGCACTGTCCCCGGCATGACCATGGGTGGATAAGGCCACAAACCAGCTGGCCACACGCCACTGTGGTCCTGTCTGATGGCATGTGTTTCCCCATGAGCACAGCAGGCCCTCCAGGTCTGCCTGGGAAGAGAAAGCCTTCTGCAGGTGTCCCTCACCCCAGCTGCAAGAGAGGCTAGGCCAAGACTGAGCCTGGGACTCGTGGCCTGTTGGTTCTTTTCTCCCAGTACTTTGTTCCCCTTTTGTACTTAAATTGCTGAACCCCACAGGAGCAGGACTGCCCGAAGTGGCCATACCACACTCACCAGCAATGCTTACTGGACCTGCTGACCAGCCCTGGCATTGACCTAGGGTGTGGGGCACACATAGAAATGACGGTAATCCTGGAGTCAGGCTTGTGGGCAAACACGTATGGGACAAGGAGACCCTCTTTGCAAAAGAGACCCAAACAAGGAGCCATGGCCTGTAGACTGGACCCGGGACTTGCCCTGCCTGGGAGGAGGCTGCAGGCAGGTCTGAGGGATGAGAAAGCTCAGCTCAGCCTGTTCATAAAAGGAGTGTTGATAGCCACCTCCTTCCGCCTGTGCTGCAGAAAAAGACCAAAGCCTCCCTGGACAGAAAGCCCGCAGCAGCCCAAGGTTATCCGCGTGTCTTTGCACTAAAGGATGTACAGCCAGTTTGGGCTTTTGATCAGCAGTCAGTGCGGGTCACTGCTCTCTGAAAGCTCTCCAGGGGGTCCCAGCTCACTTCAAGTCCACCTTTCCAGTCTCCACCTCTCCACCCTCCATCCCAGCTCCAGCCACCTTTCCCTCCCTAGTATGCCACGTGGGCCTCCTTGGGGCCAGCCCTGGCCTCTTCCTGTGACTCAGCCCCGTCCTTCACCACTCAAGTCTTTGCTCCAATGTCTCCACTCACACCGTGACCAAACCACCCACCACTCTGCCCTCTTGGCCTGCTTCATCCCCCCGACGGTGCTGCTGCCCGCAACATAGGGTGTTTCATGCTAATTCGATACCTGCCTCTCCTCCCCTCATTGTGGGCTCCGTGAGATTTTAGGAATTCAGTCTGTCCTGGTTGCTGCTGTGGATATTCCCAGCACTCAGGATGGTGCCTCACCCCTATTGTGAAATAAGTATGGAATTAAGTGGAATTAATGGGATTCAATTAAACAAATGAATGAATGAATGAATTCCCCCACTCTCTCCCTGTAGCCAGAGCTGCATCTCTCTTTCACGATGCTTCTTCCATTGGTTGGGTTTCTTGGCCACTTCTGAGCTGCGCCAAAGGCATACTCAGAGATGCTGGTTTGTCTTTATTGACCCCTGGGCACCCGGCACAGGCCGGGAGGGGCACTTCCTTCAGAAGCAGGTGCTCTCCGCGGGCCCCAGATGTGTGCTGAGATGCCTCAGGGCTACAGACAACAGATGCGGCAGACCCCCGATGAAGTCTGACTGCCATCCTGGCTCTGGGCCCTGTGTGAGGGCACATCACCGATTGTCCCCACAGGCTCTCTCCCACTCGAACACAAGGCCCGAACCACAAACATTATATCCCTCAGAGCAAACCTGAGAGGTTGAGGGCAGCCTGCCAAGGGCCCCTGAGACAGGCAGCACTTAGCGAAACTGTTGTTGCTCTAAGGAGGGGCCGTGCTCCTTCACCGCTGCCTGCATCCACGGGAAACATCACAAGGGAGCACAGAGGGCAGCTGCTTGCTAATCGTCAGAACTGAACAGCTGGCTACCGAGCTAGTCTGCTCACACAGCTGCGGGGGCCAAGGCTGGACGGCGGTGGTGGCCCCAGCGCCTGCCGGCCTGCCCCCCTCCTCCTCACGTCCCTTCTCTCTCCTCTGCCCCTCACGGGCCTCCCGGCTGCAGGAATGTGGGGCTTTCACGACCGGGACCTGGTTTTGCGGAAAGCTCTCTACACCATGATGAGGACGGGGGCCGAGAGGGAGGCCCTGAAGCGAAGATGGAGGTGGCAGCAGACGCAGCAGAACAAGGAGGTAGGTACCTGTCGGCGTGGCAGAGCCGGGACCACGCCGCGCGTGGCCAAAGCCAGGGCGGGGTCTGGATCTGGGCCCCGAGGTCAAGTCTGTCTTGTGAGATCAGCAGCAATGGCTCCGTCCCCCACTCAGACCCACCAAAGAGGAGCCCGTTGCGACAGTCAGGCCCTGCCCACAGCGACCAGACGCCCATTTCCCCCACCCGTCCTGGTGTAATTATGAAAACCAATCACCTTCACTCGCAAGGCTGTCCCGACCTGAATGGTGAATTAGATGGTCACCCGTCAGGTCACTGCCGGTGCAGCCACAGATTGGCCCTGGCACGGCCCACAGCCCCAGCCCCAGTGTGTGTGCTCAGTCCAGAGGGAATCTTCATCCCTGAACCTCGGTGAGCACTGGCCCTTTGCTGGCCTGGAAGCCCTTGAAGATGGGTCTGCCTGGGTCCCTACACACGTGTCAGTGGTCGGTGCTCTGCCCGGTGCGCGTACAGGTTACACTGGTCGTTCTCACCCCTGGGAATGACCCCTATTGCTGGGTGGACTCCCAACGGCATGGAGGTTGGAGATTGGGGGTTCTGAACAAATTCTGTCAAGAGCAAATGGGGATGGTCCTCGGCCACTAACAGGTGCCCCAGGCCCAGGGGCTGACGAAACCGGGAGGTGAGGCTCTCGGCCAGGATCGCCTGGGTGGAGGGTAAGGAGTGGCCGCCCCCTCCTGAGCCCGCCCCCCTTTGTGCCAGTCAGGGCTGGTGTACACGGAGGAAGAGTGGGAGCGAGAGTGGACAGAGCTGCTGAAGCTGGCCTCCAGCGAGCCACGCACGCACATCAGCAAGCACGGCGGCTCGGGCGGGGGGTAAGTGCTGCCCCGGCCGTGCCCCCACCCCCAGCGGCATGGGAAGTTGGGGAGGATGCGGGACCCCCAAGCTGGGGGAGACATGAGGACGACTCCCGCCTTCAGACCTAAGATTCTACCAAGGATGCAGGGCAGGTGGTGGGGGGGCAGGCGGGACAGCAGGACCCTGCCAGATGTTTGGGCGAAAGTGTGCACAGTCCCCATGTGCATCTCATGAGCTCACGTGTGCCCCCCGACACCACAGCAGGGAGGGACTCACCGCCCAGCCAGCCTCGGAAGGGCCCACACTGCCCACGCACTCACCAGGCTCTGAAGCCTCAGGCTGCTGATTTGGGTTTTTTCATCTGAACATCTAATTTCTGGCTTTAAGAAGTCACAGTGAAACAAAAGATGGTTAGGCAAGCCCAGCGTCTCGCAGACAGGCTCCAGGGACATCCTGCGTGTTCCTGGCACCCAGGCTCTACTGCTCTGCACACGTGGGCAGCGGCTGTTCTTCCTGCAGACACGGCTGGACCGTCCCCACGTGGGAATGAAGGTGCAGCCAACAGGGCAGCTGCAGCCCCTTTGGCCCCAGCTTTTTGAAACCGAGGGCCAGGTTGTCACCCCCCAGAAAACGTCTCAGCCAAACACAAGAGAGGATGCTTGTTGACAGCGGGGAGACCCGAGAAAGGATCAGAGGCTCTAGACAGCCCCTGCAGGCAGTGCATCCCAGGCCCTACCCTGCCCCCATGCATCTCTGCATCTGGGTCCTCAGCCTCTGCAGCAGGACCTAGCGCTTTCCAGGCCGGCACCAGACAGAGGCCCTTCAAAGACAAGGCTTAGAGATGATAAGGGAACCTGTAAACGCTATTCCTACAGGGTTGTTTTGTCACTTTGTTTTTTTGTGTTTTTTTAAGTGGACCACTTTTAAAGTCTGTATTGAATTTGTTACAATATTGCTTCTGTTTTACATTTTGTTTTATTGGCCCCGAAGCATGTGGGATCTTAATTCCCCGACCAGGAATTGAACCCGCACCCCCTGCATTAGAAGGCGAAAGTCTCAATCACTGGACAGCCAGGGAATTCCCTGTCACTTTGTTTTAATCGGGAGACTTGTCAACACCAAAAGTCTGTCTTGTTTAGGACATTTGGGGACAAATATCCTAAAGACTCAATCCATTCCTGAAAGCCTGCTCTCTACTTTCCCACACTGCTGAGTCTTGCCTGGGATGCGTCTAAAGGGTTCCGCGCCATCCTTTTCCCCATTGTCCCTCCAGCCCCTGCTGCTCTGTAGACGCTGGTACATTGGATCCTGCTTGGTGACTCTTCCAGGGTGGGGAAGATATGGGGAATGACAGCAGTAATGATAAGAGTAACAGGTCACAGTCACCACATACTGTGTCCCCCCCGAGTCCTCCCATCCAGGAGGCACTTGACTGACAGTCACATGGCTGGTTCGGGCCATCTGACTCCTAAGGCCATGGCCTGGGCACTGCTGCTGCTCCCTGGGACCCCAGAGGACTCAGAGCAGGAGAGTGGGGGCAGGCAGCAGACGACATCTGTTTGTCCCTGTCACCCCTCACAGGGACTCGGGTTTGCCAAGGTCGAGGCAGGACCACCACATAGAGGCCCCTAGGTGATGGGCAGCGGCTGTGTCCCCTACTGTCCCCTGCTCTTTCTCCCACTCCTTAAGCCCTGAGGATATGGGGTCGGGGGAGAAGATGCTGGACCAGCTGACCACTCGCCCGGCGCTCGGGCATTGCTGAGACCTGCCAACCCAATGGTAGCTGCCCTGTGCCTCCAAATGTCCCCCTCCTCGCAGGACCCCTTCACCATTAGTTTGGTTTCAGTTGTAAAGATGGAAGTGTTTTTGGCCACACCTCGCAACTCTGACCAGGGATTGAACCTGGGTCACGGCAATGAAAGCCTGTAATCCTAACCACTAGGCCACCAGGGAACTCCCACCCTGGTCTTTTTAAGTTCCCTCCATGCAACTTGGACCAGAAGGTTTGGGGAGCAGGTAAGCATCATGCTGGCCACTAGTGTCCTCTTCTGTGAGAGGTGCTGGGTGGGCAACCCCGGGTGCAGGCAGGATTCTGACACGTGCCAGGGCCTCGGGAGGATCCGTTTGCCTGTCGCTCTGCACAGATCATGGCACAGAAATGCTCTGCAGGTGGTGTCCCAGCCCCATGTCTGGTTTCTCCTGGATTTTAAATGGTCCCAGGGGCTCCAATTCTCCCCCACCCCATGCCCTCCCAAGCCAGGGCACAGGGTTTTTTTGTTTTGTTTGTTTGTTTTTTAACATCTTTATTGGAGTATAAGTGCTTTACAATGGTGTGTTAGTTTCTGCTTTATAACAAAGTAAATCAGTTATACATATACATATGTTCCCATATCTCTTCCCTCTTGCGTCTCCCTCCCTCCCACCCTCCCTATCCCACCCCTCTAGGCAGTCACAAAACACTGAGTTGATCTCCCTGTGCTATGCGGCTGCTTCCCACTAGCTATCTAATTTACGTTTGGTAGTGTATATATGTCCATGACACTCTCTCACTTTGTCACAGCTTACCCTTCTCCCTCCCCATAACCTCAAGTCCATTCTCTAGTAGGTGTGTGTATTTATTCCCGTCTTACCCCTAGGTACTTCATGACATTTTTTTTTCTTAGATTCCATATATATGTGTTAGCATACGGTATTTGTCTTTCTCTTTCTGACTTACTTCACTCTGTATGACAGACTCTAGGTCCATCCACCTCACTACAAATAACTCAGTTTTGTTTCTTTTTATGGCTGAGTAATATTCCATTGTATATATGTGGAGGGCGCAGGGTTTTCTGGCCCAATAACTGCAGTCTGCAGAGCTGTGTGTGGGCTCCGGACGGTCACCTGGACCCACAGCAGCAGGTAGATCCCAGACGCAGGTGGGGAGCTTCTAGAACCAAGGCTGTTTTGGTTCTGACACGTTACTATGGTAACATTTGAGCTCTGTGAGAGAGACCTCACAGAGGCTTTTAGTCACTCTCACGGGACCTCCCCACATCCTCCTCCCTGGAGAGCTCTTATGCGGTCACACCACAGAGAACAGGACTGTTTCCTCCTTCTAGGAGGTGTACCCCTGCTGGGGGGTTCACCTTCTCTTGGGGTGCAAAAGTCCAAAAGAGAGACTTTTCTTGAGCAAGCTGTCAGCATCTCTGCATTTTGCCTCTGTCTTCTCTTGGCAAGGGGAAGAGGGTCCCCTCCTCGTGCTGAGCTGAGGGACGGGGAGCATCCCTGGGGCTCCAGGCTTGCAGAGACTGAGCGCGGATCCTGGGAGGAGGCCTGGGCCACGCTGTCTTCAGGACTCTGCCTATGAGGGAGAAGCCCAGAGGCCAGGCCTGAAGGGCGGGCGCAGCCATTGGCTTGGGGCACCACTACCTCTGTCCAGGGAATGGAGGGCAGAGACCCTCAGCTGGGGGGAGGTCTGAAGACCTGCAAAAGCACATCCTTGGAAATGGAGTCAGCATTAGGACCTCCCCCAAGCCCAGCGGGCACCCAAAGGAGGAGACCCAAGATGGCCTTGGCTGCCCTCTGGCCTCTCCTGTCTGGCCTGCGCTGGCCCCTCAGGGGGCACAGGTGCTGCCAGAGAACGGGGAGGAGGTGAAGCGAGAAACAGAGAAGAACCGGCTAGGCCTGCAGTGGGCTCGGCTCAGGGCTGATGTGATAGCCCCCTGAACAGAACTAGGAAAAGTGACCAGAAAGGCCACACAGACTTCCCAGAATTTATCCTGAGGAAAGGAGAGAGCTGGGCAAATGAGTGCATTTGCAGGTACAATGGCGAGAAAAACTACAGTGGCTTTCCTCGTGTTTCCCCTACGCCCTGGGAACCTGGCCACCATGGTGAGTGACAAGTGCAAGCACTGCTCCTGCCCAGCCAGCCCCTGGCCGCCTGGCCCTGGGACAGATGGAGACAGACGCCACACTGCGGCTCCCAGCATGGACACTGGCCCAGTATCTTTTTTTTTCCAGAAAGCAACCAGGTTAAGTATCTGAAGAGGCCGGAAGGGACCAAGGGCCAGACCCAGGGATGCGCTTGGCCTGCTTCCTGCCTTCCTCCTGCACGACTCGCAGTGGCCGGTCCCCAGGCTCACTGGCCAAGCCCCAGCAGGAGACCCTGGAGGCAGGGATGCCTGTCCACGACTTGACCACGGACAAGGGTGGAGACCAGGCTGGGGTCTGGGCAGGTCGGGCCACCAGCCAGAGAGCCACCGTGGACAGGCTGCTCAGGACTGGTGACCACAGAGCGGGATGCCCTCCAAGACCTCAGGAAGGCAAGGCCAGTGTGAGCTCCCTGCTGAGTTCAGATGCGTGAGAAAGATAGGGTGGCACCTGCACCCACAGACGCGGCAAACATGGTGAGAGCCGAGGCAGGCAGAGGCGGGTGCTTCCACGCAGGCGCACTCAGAACTACAGGACCCGTTGTCTCTGCTGCTCCTACTTGCAAATCAAAACGTGTATGTTTCTCTGTGGCTAAAATGAGAAATCAGACGTTCTGTGTTGCTGCTCCTCCAGAGACCCTCTGAGGCACGACGTGTGAAGTGTGACCTCCTTCACACTGCTGCTGGGGTTTACAGCCCCTCCACCAAAGGTGAACTAGGCTCGCCCGTCACCAGGGCTGCAAGTGGGGCCATGAGGAAGAGGGCTGCTCCCCAGAAGGAAAAGGAAGACACGGAGGAGAGAAGAAAATAAGTCCAGCCTAAGTCATGCAGGTCTGCAGGGAAAGCAGTGCTGAGGTGAAGTTGTCCGTCACCGGCTGGCACGTGCAGCACTGCCCCCCCGCCCCCGCCATGCTGGACACTGCGGGAAGAGGGGGTGTGTGCAACGGGAGGAATCCATTACTTGTTCCAAAACCGGTAAAATCTCTGAAAGCAGTTAGTTAGTGGTGGCCTCTGGGTGCTTCATCTGGTTTCAAGGCAACTGAGAACTAGGAAGGGGGGATGCCTGGTGGACCCTGACCAGAGGCCCAGACTCAGATGACCTGGGT